AGCGAGCACCATTGCTGAGCGTACTTCTCTGTGGTGAGAGGAGGGTGGGGGTCGTGGGCAGATGGAGCTGCGGGGTTCTACCCGAATTCTTGCCGTGATGATGGGCGCGGCCCCGGGATCTGGTGGCCCACCTGTGTGGCTCCGAAGCCCCGGAGGTTGTTCTTTTTCTTAGGGGAGCAATGCGCTGCCCTAATCATCAGGGAAGCTCATGTTCAGGGCAGGCCTCCCAGAATGCACGGGGGTGGGGTGTCCTGCAGACTCTGGTGCCAGCCTGCCCCCCGCCCCCCACAGGACTCCAAGAAGCTGCGCCTGCGGTGCTCTTCCCTGATCCGCCAGAGTCCGAAGCTGACCTTCTACAAGGTGAGGGCTGCTCCTGACCGGCCGATGGGTGTGGGGGTCCCTGAGCCCCCACCTCTCGCCTGTTCTGCCCCCTGGGGCTGGAGGGCCAGAGCAGAGGCCGTGAGCACAGCCCTCCCGTCCCCACAGAGGGAAGTACTTGGGCGGGGGCAGAGGTGGGGGCCGGAGGGCGAGGCCCTGGCTGCCCCCGAGGCACCCCATCACAGCCCACCCCTCCGCCCGCAGCCCAACGAGGTCCCGGTGAAGCTGAACACGACGGCCATCCTGCGGGAAGAGGCCCTGTACCAGCGGCAGGTGGAGAAGGAGCTGCAGAGGTGGGGGCAGGAGGAGGAGGGCAGGCCGGGGGGGGGGGGCGCCCAGCAGGCTGGTGTCGGGGTCACAGAGGCACCCTAGAAAGACCACCTCGGCTCAGTGAGGGAGGCGCTCTGGGTGGAGCAGGCTCAGGAGGCAGCGGCCCAGCTTCCGGGAGCCCCTCCCCTGAACCACCAGCCGCAGCCCCTGTTCTTGCCCCAGAAACAGGGCTGTGGGTGGGAGTGTGGGTGAGAGACAGACAGGTGGACAGAGGGATGGTGCCGGACAGACAGGTGAGTAGAGAGGAGATGGAGGGGGGTGGGAAGATGTGGGTGGAGGGCCGGTGTGCAGGTGGCGGGGCTGCTGG